CTAATTAAATTCTCAGTCAATTACTCAGCAAATTCTCAATAAATTACTCAGTAAATTCTCAATTAATTACTTAGTAAATTACTTGTAAATTCTCAGTAAATTACTAAGTAAATTCTCAGTAAATTACTTAGTAAGTTGTCTAGAAATTCTGAGAAAATTACTTAGTAAATTACTCAGTAAATTCACAGTAAATTCTCAGAAAATTACACAGTAAATTCTCGATAAAGTAATCAGTAAATTCCAAGTAAATTCTTTGTAAATACTCAGCAAATAACTCAGTAAATTCTCAAAAAATTACTTAGTAAATCCAAAATAAATGCTCAATAAATTCTCAGTAAATTTCCAGAAAATTCTTAGTAAATACTTAGTAAATTCCTAGTAAATTTTTCAATAAATTACTAAGTAAATTCTTAGTAAATTACTATGTAAATTCTCATTAAATTACTCAGTACATTCCCTGTAAATTCTCGGTATATTGCTTCGTAAATTCCAAGTAAATTCTCAATAAATTACTCAGTAAAATCCCAATAAATTACTCAGTAAATTCTCTATTAATTACTTAGTAAATCACGTAGTAAATTTCATATAAATTCTCAATAAATTACTAAGTAAATTCTCGGTAAAATACTAAGTAAATTCCAAGTAAATTCTCAGTAAATTACTTAGTGAATTCTTTGTAAATTCTCAAAAAATTACTCAATAAATTCTGTGTAAATTCACATTAAATTACTAAGTACATTACCTGTAAATTACTCAGTGAATTCTCAGTAAATTCTCCGTAAATTACTCAGTAAATTCCCAGTAAAGACTCAGTAAATTCTCAGTAAATTATTCAGTAAGTTCACATTAAATCCTCAGTAAATTCCCAATAAATTACTCAGTAAATTAATCAGTACATTACCTGTAAATTTTTCAATAAATTCTCAGTGAAATACATAGTAAATTTCCAGTAAATTACTCAGTAAATTACCTATTAAATTACTCAGTAAATTCCTTTTAAATTCTCAGTAATTCTTAGTAAATTACTTAGTAAATTCCCAATAAATTATCAGTAAATTACTCAGTAAATTCTCAATTAATTACTCAGTAAATTCTATGTAAATTCTCAGTAATTTACTAAGTAAATTCCAAATAAACCCTCAACAAATTACTCAATTTATTATCAGTAATTTACCAGTAAATTCTCAGTAAATTACTCTGTAAAGTAATCAGTAAATTCCTAGTAAACTCTCAGTAAATTCTCAGTAAATTACTCAGTAAATTCAAAATAAATTCTCAGTAAATTACTCAATAAATTTTCCATAACTTATTCAGTGGATTCCCAATACATTCTCAGTAAAGTGCTCAGTAAATTCCAATAAATTGCTCAGTAAATCCTAAGTAAATTCTCAATAAATTCCATGTAAATTCTCCTTAAATTCTCAGTAAATAACTGAATAAATTCTCCGTAACTTCTTAGTAAATTACTCAATAAATACTCATTGAATTCCTAGTAAATTCTCCGTAAACTACTCAGTAAATTAATTCATAAATTTCGAGTAAATTTTTAGTAAATTGCTCAGTAAATTCCTAATAAATTAACCAGTAAATTCTCATAAAATTCAAAGTAAATTACTCAATAAATTACTCACGAAATTCTTAGTAAATTCCCTCGAAATTCTCAGTAAATTACTCAGTAAATTCTTGGTAAAGTACCCAGTAAATTCCCAGCAAATTCCAAGTAAATTCTCAGTAAATTACTTAGAATATTCCCAGTAAATTCCCAGTTAATTCTCGATAAATGACTCAGCAAATTCTCAATAAATTTCTAATAAATTCCAAGTAATTCTCCTTAAATTCTCAGTAAATTAGTCAGTCAATTCTCAGTAAATTACTCAGTAAAGTACCAGTAAATTCTCAATAAATTACTCAATAAATTCTCAGTTAATTTCAAGTAAATCATCAGCAAATTCTTAGTAAATTTTTAAGTAAATTACTCAATAAATTCTCCGTAAATTCCTCAGTAAATCCTTAGTAAATTACTCAGTAAACTACTCAGTAAATTTCCAGTAAATTCTTAGCAAATTACTTACTAAATTCTTAGTAAATTGCTCTGTAAATTGCTATTAAACTACTCCGTAAATTACTTAGCAAAATACTCAGTAAATTCTCAGTAAATTAATCAGTACATTACCCAGTAAATTACTTAGTAGATTACTCAATAAATTTCCAGTAAATTTGTCACGACCCCATTCCGCCCCTAGTAGAATGGTGCCGTAATGGCCAGTAATTCGAAAATTACCCAAGGCCAACTTGCAAGGGTTCACACACAAACAGAGTATACATATGGGGCTTACAAATGCGGAAGCAATAAATTCAAAGCTAAGTAGTCCATATGAGCAATGCATAAGTTAAATGGAATGGCATACATCTTTACATAGCTTTAATACAACAAAATGAAGTACAAAAAAAAAAATACATCTTGACCAAAAGGCTTCTTAGCCATCAAATACAAAATACAATGAAATACAACTGAGAAGCATAATCTTCAAGATGCTGCAAAAGTGCAAAATCCAAAACAAGTGGCAAGTACATCTAGGCGTCACCGCCGTCCTGCTCGTCACCTACATATATATATAGAGAGGGGTGAGCTTGGATACTCAGTGAATGGTATAAATAATAAAAGGGTTTGCATGACTGGTATTCAAGATCTTTATCAAACGATTCATAACATAATTGGTGCAAGTCAAAGGATGAACCAAGTCCATCTAGCAAATCTATCAAGCTTCAAGGGAGGCTTATTAGCATCATTATAATATAAGTGATGACATCTCGGACAAACAAACCCACGCAGTAAACCGTCAGTGGCAAACACGGCAAGACAAGGGAGATATCTCAATTCAATGGTGCAGTTGCATTATAGTCCCCTGGCACTAAGGACTTGTGCTACAAATGCTTAGAGTCCCCTAGCACGTACGGACTTCCAAACTTTGTGCGGCAAATGCTTAGAGTCCTCCAGCACGTAAGGACTTTCCAAGAATGTCATCAAAACAAGATAGTACATATTTTCCAACTAGAAATAACCATTCATGCTTATAAATACTTTTCAAAACAAAGCAAAACAAGGCTTTTATCAAAGCATTATAACATAGCTTTATTAAAAATACCACTCACTTAATTCTTCAAACGTCGGAGTCAAGGCAAGTCCAAGTCCTCAATACAAGAATCTAACGGTTTGATCTCTAGGAATCAAGCTCGAAAGCCTACTCTCTCACTCTAAAACTTCTTCTTCCTAGAGCTTCTCTCTCTGTACAAGGCAAGGATATAACACAAAAATGTATATTTTCTGGGTCTGTCGGCTAGCTTAACCCTCTGCAGGGGTACGTGGCAGCGGCTGATTAGTTCTACTCCAAAAGTGACTGAGTGAAAAGACAAGACTATGACAAAGTGTACTCAACAAGCTAGGTGGCAAGAATAGGCCGAGGTCCCACACCTCCTTGCCGAGGTGTGGCCTCGATGGCCACATTCAAGGAAATGAAGTCGGGAAAAATCTGGGTTTCCCTCTGCTGAAGAACATGAACATGAGAAATACGAATGCTCAATCGCAACTTGTTATTTCAAAATCTAAGATTTCATGCCATGAGTTCGAAAACATGGACCTAGGTTCCCATACTCAAGGATCTTACGAAAACAAACACAAAAACCTAGTTCTCAATACAAACTTTCGGATCGAAACAAGACTTTCTTTTAAGAACTCAAGAACACCATTTCTCTTTCCAGAACCAGACTTTAAATCAATGCACGGCTCATGAATCATGCTAGATCATGCAATGCAGCTAGATAAACATAAGGAACAACAAGAGTAAATCAAGAATCTAACCTCAATACAAGAATCTAATGGTTTGATCTCTAGGAATCAAGCTCGAAAGCCCACTCTCTCACTCTAAAACTTCTTTTTCTTCCTAGAGCTTCTCTCTCTCTACAAGGCAAAGATATAATACAAAAATGTATATTTTCTGGGTCTGTCGGCTGACTTAACCCTCTGTAGGGGCACGTGGCAACGGCTGGTTGGTTCTACTCAAAATGGTGACTGAGTGAAAAGACAAGACTATGACAAAGTGTACTCAACAAGCTAGGCGGCAAGAGCACTCCGACAAGTAACGACATCGGCTAACAACAAGACTTCGGCAAGCAAGGGGCAAGGACATCGGCTAGAAAGGACAACAATTGGCCTAGCTGTGCCACACCTTGGCCTAGATGTGTCACACCTCGGTCTAGGTCGTACCAATCCAGGAGTAAGGTCACTTGGGTTCAAGGGTAACATCTCGGCCTAGATAATACACATCTCGGCCTCGGCGATGAGCACCTCGGCCTAGATAGTGACATCTCGGCCAACATGTCAGAGCGAAGGTGGAGTCAACCAAAGTAAATTCCAAGATGGTCTTAGATGTAAGAGGTTCAAAACTGATCTAGGCTCAGGGTGACCTCGGCTAAACCCACACCGAGCAAGGTACGAAACATGCTATAACACTTAAGCGAACAAGGACAAGACTAGAAATGCAAGCTTAACAAGACAGAATCATATGAATGCATATGAGTATGGTTAGGACAGTGTGAGGGTTATTACATCCTACCCCCCTTAAAGAAGTTTGGTCCCCAAACTTGAGTTACCTCGATTCAAGAATAACTCCGGATATCGGGCTTTCATTTCTTCTTCCATTTCCCATGTAGCGTCCCTGCCGTAATGCTCCTTCCATTTAATCTTCACCATCGGTATTGCCTTGTTTCTCAATTGCTTCACTTGTCTATCGATAATACGCATCGGCTTTTCTTCATAGCTTAAATCTTCATCAACCACAATCCCAAAATGATCAATCACGTGCAGTGGATCCCGAACATACTTCCTCAACATCGAGATATGGAACATGTCACGCCCTAAACTTGCCCCTAAAAGTTTGGGCATGACCTACACAGAAACGGACGCATAACCTGGTATACATATCATATGGGGCCTGAACGGAAGCATTTACCAATATAAATTAACATAAATAAAAGAACTGCATCCATTGAGCGACCACTATCATGCCAGGATCACAGACAGAACATAAGGCAAATAAACATACAATGACGTGCACCAGAGAGTTAGTTATGTACATATATATATACAGACCCAGCCCTTAAAATTGGGCATAAAACAACATGGATAGGCAAAGGAATTATATATACATCAACCTTAAGCAAACAATCAGAGTGTAAAATCAAAAGTTTAGCAAAAAGGGCTGCCTTCACTTAAGTGCCTGGATACTCTGAGGTTGACAAAAGAGGCACGGATGCCATGGGTTAAAACTGACCTCCAGGTGGAGTGCCTACAGAAACAGACATAAGACAAAGTGAGTCAAGCTCAGTGAACAGTAGTACATAAACAATTTAAAGATTAACTTAATTTACTTACAATGTACACATTTCTCTAATTAGATAAGTAAATGCAAAAATCCTGTGGTTAGTCTGATTCTGTACACATTTAAGGACAGTCTTGTCGGTTCATAACTTCATAGGTTGGCCCTTGGCCTGATGGGTTCACACATTCACAAATTAGCCCTTAGCTTAACTTAGATGCATAACTTCACAAATTGGCCCTCGGCCTTTGAGATCACAAGTTACAGATTTATACTTCATAAGTTGGCCCTCGGCCTCATAATTTCAGAATTCACAAGTTGGCCCTCGGCCTCATAATTTCAGAATTCACAAGTTGGCCCTCGGCCTCATAATTTCAGAATTCACAAGTTGGCCCTCGGCCTCATAATTTCAGAATTCACAAGTTGGCCCTCGGCCTCATAATTTCAGAATTCACAAGTTGGCCCTCGGCCTCATAATTTCAGAATTCACAAGTTGGCCCTCGGCCTCATAATTTCAGAATTCACAAGTTGGCCCTCGGCCTCATAATTTCAGAATTCACAAGTTGGCCCTCGGCCTCATAATTTCAGAATTCACAAGTTGGCCCTCGGCCTCATAATTTCAGAATTCACAAGTTGGCCCTCGGCCTCATAATTTCAGAATTCACAAGTTGGCCCTCGGCCTCATAATTTCAGAATTCACAAGTTGGCCCTCGGCCTCATAATTTCAGAATTCACAAGTTGGCCCTCGGCCTCATAATTTCAGAATTCACAAGTTGGCCCTCGGCCTCATAATTTCAGAATTCACAAGTTGGCCCTCGGCCTCATAATTTCAGAATTCACAAGTTGGCCCTCGGCCTCATAATTTCAGAATTCACAAGTTGGCCCTCGGCCTCATAATTTCAGAATTCACAAGTTGGCCCTCGGCCTCATAATTTCAGAATTCACAAGTTGGCCCTCGGCCTCATAATTTCAGAATTCACAAGTTGGCCCTCGGCCTCATAATTTCAGAATTCACAAGTTGGCCCTCGGCCTCATAATTTCAGAATTCACAAGTTGGCCCTCGGCCTCATAATTTCAGAATTCACAAGTTGGCCCTCGGCCTCATAATTTCAGAATTCACAAGTTGGCCCTCGGCCTCATAATTTCAGAATTCACAAGTTGGCCCTCGGCCTCATAATTTCAGAATTCACAAGTTGGCCCTCGGCCTCAAAAGTTCACAAATTCACAAAGTGGCCCTCGGCCTCATAAGTTCACAAATTCACAAAGTGGCCCTCGGCCTCATAAGTTCACAAATTCACAAAGTGGCCCTCGGCCTCATAAGTTCACAAATTCACAAAGTGGCCCTCGGCCTCATAAGTTCACAAATTCACAAAGTGGCCCTCGGCCTCATAAGTTCACAAATTCACAAAGTGGCCCTCGGCCTCATAAGTTCACAAATTCACAAAGTGGCCCTCGGCCTCATAAGTTCACAAATTCACAAAGTGGCCCTCGGCCTCATAAGTTCACAAATTCACAAAGTGGCCCTCGGCCTCATAAGTTCACAAATTCACAAAGTGGCCCTCGGCCTCATAAGTTCACAAATTCACAAAGTGGCCCTCGGCCTCATAAGTTCACAAATTCACAAAGTGGCCCTCGGCCTCATAAGTTCACAAATTCACAAAGTGGCCCTTGGCCTCATAAGTTCACAAATTATACCTTTCATATCTTCACAAATTATATCTTTCATAAATTCACATGTTATTCCTTTCATATCTTCACAAATTATATCTTTCATAAATTCACATGTTATTCCTTTCATATCTTCACAAATTATATCTTTCATAAATTCACATGTTATTCCTTTCATATCTTCACAAATTATATCTTTCATAAATTCACATGTTATTCCTTTCATATCTTCACAAATTATATCTTTCATAAATTCACATGTTATTCCTTTCATATCTTCACAAATTATATCTTTCATAAATTCACATGTTATTCCTTTCATATCTTCACAAATTATATCTTTCATAAATTCACATGTTATTCCTTTCATATCTTCACAAATTATATCTTTCATAAATTCACATGTTATTCCTTTCATATCTTCACAAATTATATCTTTCATAAATTCACATGTTATTCCTTTCATATCTTCACAAATTATATCTTTCATAAATTCACATGTTATTCCTTTCATATCTTCACAAATTATATCTTTCATAAATTCACATGTTATTCCTTTCATATCTTCACAAATTATATCTTTCATAAATTCACATGTTATTCCTTTCATATCTTCACAAATTATATCTTTCATAAATTCACATGTTATTCCTTTCATATCTTCACAAATTATATCTTTCATAAATTCACATGTTATTCCTTTCATATCTTCACAAATTATATCTTTCATAAATTCACATGTTATTCCTTTCATATCTTCACAAATTATATCTTTCATAAATTCACATGTTATTCCTTTCATATCTTCACAAATTATATCTTTCATAAATTCACATGTTATTCCTTTCATATCTTCACAAATTATATCTTTCATAAATTCACATGTTATTCCTTTCATATCTTCACAAATTATATCTTTCATAAATTCACATGTTATTCCTTTCATATCTTCACAAATTATATCTTTCATAAATTCACATGTTATTCCTTTCATATCTTCACAAATTATATCTTTCATAAATTCACATGTTATTCCTTTCATATCTTCACAAATTATATCTTTCATAAATTCACATGTTATTCCTTTCATATCTTCACAAATTATATCTTTCATAAATTCACATGTTATTCCTTTCATATCTTCACAAATTATATCTTTCATAAATTCACATGTTATTCCTTTCATATCTTCACAAATTATATCTTTCATAAATTCACATGTTATTCCTTTCATATCTTCACAAATTATATCTTTCATAAATTCACATGTTATTCCTTTCATATCTTCACAAATTATATCTTTCATAAATTCACATGTTATTCCTTTCATATCTTCACAAATTATATCTTTGAGTCATGCTTAATGGCATCAAATCAACTAATAATTTTATACCCTCTCTCAGTCTGAAACAACGGACATCGGCACATCATGAAGTCTCACAATCTCATTCATATACAACACAGCAAGTCGATCAGCATTAAACGAAGTCTTAACAGGCAAGAAGTGTGCTGACTTAGTTAATCTGTCAATTATAACCCAGATCGAATCCATCCCTTTCTGTGTCTTCGGCAAACCAATCACAAAGTCCATGGAGATGTGTTCCCATTTCCACTTAGGAATCGGCAAAGGTTGGAGAAGTGCTGCTGGCCTCAGAAAAATACTTACTAAATTCTCAGTAAATTACTCAGTAAATTCCAAATAAATTCTCAATGAATTACTCATTAAATTCTCAGTAAATTACTCAGTATATTTCTTAGTAAATTTGCAGTGAATTCTCAGAAAATTACTCAGTACATTACTGAATATATTACTCAGTATATTCCTTATAAATTCTCAATAAATTTCCAATAAATTACTCAGTAAATTCTCCGTAACTTACTCAGTAAATTCTCAATAAATTCTCAGTAAAGTACTTAGTAAATTACTCAGTAAATTCTGATTAAATTCTCCGTAAATTCTCGGTAAATTACATAGTAAATTTTCAGAAAAATTACTCAGTAAATTCCTATGAAATTCTCAGTAAATTACTCAGTAAATACTCAGCAAATTCTCAATAAATTACTCCGTAAATTTCTCAGTCAATTCCGCGCAAATTTTCAAGAAATTCTCAGAAAATTACTGCATAAATTCCCAATAAATTACTCAGTAAATTCTCAGCAAAATTACTCTATAAATTCATAGTAAAATAATCAGTAAATTACTCACTAAATTCTCAACAAATTCCCTCTAAATTCTCAATAAATTACTCAAAAAATTACTCAGTAAATAGCTAAGTAAATTCCTAGTAAATTCTTAGTAAATTCTCTATAAAGTACTCAGTAAATTACTCAATAAATTCCTAGTAAATTCTCAGCAAATTACTCAGTCAATTCTCAGTAAATACTCAGTCAATTCCCAGCATATTCTCAGTAAGTTACTCATTAAATTCTAAGTAAATCCTCAGTACATTACCTAGTAAATTACTCAGTAAATTACTTTGTGAATTTCTAATAAATTACTCAGTATATTTTCAGTAAATTACTTAGAAAATTCCCAGTAAATTCATAGTAAATTCTCAGTAAATTACTTTTAAATTCCAAGTAAATTCTCAGTAAATTACTCAGTAAGTCTCAGTAAATTACTCAGGAAATTATGAGTAAATTACGCTGAAAATTCCTTGCAAATTCTCAGTAAATTACTCGGAAAATTCCCAGTAAATTCTTATCAAATTACTCAGTAAATTACCAAATAAATTCCCCGTAACTTATTTAGTTAATTCACAATAAATTCTCAAAAAAGTACATAGTAAATTCCCAGTAAATTACTCAGTAAATTCTTAGTAAATTCCAAGTAAATTCACTGTAAATTATAAGTAAATTCTCTGAAATTCTAACTAAATTTCCTATAAATTCTCACTAAATTTCTCAGTAAATTGCATAGTAAATTCTTAGAAAATTACTCAGCAAATTCCCAATAAATTCTCAGTAAATTATTTAGTAAATTCTCAGTAAATTACTCCGTAAATTCTCAATATGTTACTCAGTAAATTCACAGTGAATTCTCAGTAAATTACTCAATACATTTGTCACGACCCCATTCCGCCCCTAGTAGAATGGTGCCGTGATGGCCAGTAATCCGAGATTACCAAAGGCCAACTTGCAAGGGTTCACACACAATCATAGTATACGTATGGGGCTTACATGTGCGGAAGTAATAAATTTAAAGCTAAATAGTCCACAAGAGCTGTGCATAGATCGAATGAAATGACATACATCTTAATATAGCTTATAACTTGGATACAATAAAATAAAGTACAAAATACATCTTGATCAAAAGGCTTCTTAAGCCGTCATATACAAAGAGATAACTACAAGCCAAGAAGCATAATCATCGAGATGCTACAAAACATGAATCCAAAAAATCTTGCAACAATCAACTAGGCGTCACCGCCTTCCTGCTCGTCACCTACATATATATAAGAGAGGGTGAGCTTGGATACTCAGTGAATGATACTAGTAATAAAGGTTTTGCATGAATGATATTCAAGATCTCTTTTCTAAACAATACATAGCATACTATACAAAATCA